GAATAGTGGGATTGACCGTCACATTATAACGTCCCCACGGCTGAAAGGGCGATCATGTTTGGTGTGACGGGGATTCGAACCCGCGACCCACAGATTGCGAGTCGAGCACCCTAGCCATCTGGCCATGCCGGGCCACTTAATAGATGAATTATCTAAGTTACAATTGCGAGTCACTCTTATAACTGGAGAGCTGATCTCGATATAGAAAAGAAAGGTTTGTGATTAGCAGATAACAAGAGTGTCGCAACTGCTGTTAACTTGTAACAATTTTATTGAACCAAGTTATTAAAATCTCCAATAAAACGAGAAGCACACAACAAGAAATACAACTGTATGTTTGTTTAAAAAAACAAAAACATTAGGTTATACGTGGGTGTTCATATATGAACTGTACTGTAAATCGACAATAGACTTAACCTGAGAGCTTATATCCACTGAAATCCTTATACAGTTCGCTGTGGTAACAAAGCCACACAACAGGCTATCTGTACTGTGCTCAACGCATTTATCGAAGCCCGAATGTTAGCGTTGTATTGTTTGTAATTAAACATAAAGCTACACAATGGGCTATCTGTGCTCTGCCCACCACGGATATTGATTCTAGCGTTGTGAGTCCACAGACATTCCGCTGTGCCACTAGGGGGCTTTAGCGTTGTAAATTGTGAGACTTACCGCTGAGCCACAGGGGGTTGGAGAACCCTCAAGAGACAAAATAATGAATTGTGTCTAAACGTTTGAAAAGAAATACAACAGCTTAAAAAAGCCAATTCTTAATCTTTATACAGAGTAACTGAAAAAAATAAAAAATAGAAGAGAAAAGCACAAAGTTTAAATTATACCAATATTATAGATTTTAAGAAAATCGAATACATTAGAATTCTCCAGTAAACAAAATCTATGCTAACAACAACAATATATTTTAAGTTTCAAAAGTTTAAAAGTATTCAAAGTCGGGGAAAATCAGAAGAACAATAAAATTTTAGAAAACAATACCAATAAATAATAGTTTTCACAAGAAAATGTGGCCTGAGCTCACAGAAGTATAAACAGCAGGTTTAAACGTTACCTTGATGTCTAGGTGGACAATGCCTAACTTGTGAAGAAATGAAAGCGCATCCAAAACTTGACTAATAATGTAAAGTACTTGGGATTCCAGAAACACTACATCGTCATCCAGAAGTCGCTGGAGTTCTCCTCCTTCAGCTCTAGAAGTTACAATAAAAAAATGTATGAGTTTTTTATAAAAGTTACCATATAAATAGAACAGGTCAAAGTACGGATCGTTTAATTGAATCTAGCTAAATAGAGCATGGATTACGCAGCTTTGTAACGAAGTAAAAAGTAAACTATCAGCTTCCAGGAACTTCTTGCCAACGAGGTGAAACATTTTATATTGGCGAGAAATTTGTGAGTTGAACATATCTATAAATTTAAGTCTCAGGAAAAACAAAACAGTACTTGTTGACCATTTTGTTCTAAGCTCCGCACTTTTCAACATGAGAATCCCACTGTCTCTTTGTTTGGAATACAACTGTTCCTTAACTTTATATTATTATTATTACGTCTGCAGTAAGTCTCCAGGCTTACGACGCTAGCAATCGGGCTTAACAACAACAAAGCAAAGCGACATTGGGCTACCTGCTGTGCCTACCGCAGGGAATCGAACCCCGACGTTTAAGTCAATAAACTTATCGCTGTCCCACAAGGGACAGGGAAGAACAAAAGGCTTAATAATGAGAATTGACAAATTATAATTGTTTATTAAGTTGACTTGACGCTACTCGTTGGTTTTATTTTATAGCGATTTATCTGTAACATTCAAATAATTCTTTACACAACAGATGAAGTTTGGAAACACTGGTGCTTACGTCATAACAATATACTTACATAATTCTACGCTCACTTACAGTTCGAGAACTAAGACCATTTCTGATGGACTTTCGAATACTTCGCTCAAGTGAATGATTCGTCGGCATGGTTTACACGTTAATAAGATCAATATTTCGTGCATTATCTCGTGCCGCACGCTCGCTGAGCGGCGTCTCTTTTTGATGTACTTTGCGGCATGGGCCTGTCCACTGGTCTTGCAGCTACAAAGCCGGACTGTTGAGAATTTACCACTGAGGAAGAGAAATAACCATACAGGACTTAGTGAAATTTTTTGTAATGCGAACACATTCTCCAGTTTATTCACAGCTGCATCTGGATATCACTTTGTTCAAGATTAATATATCATATCTATCCGAGACATAAGTAACGGAATATTCTGTATCCACAGTTACTGCAAATTCAGGCATGAAAACAGTCTTGGGTTTGGAAGAACAAATCTGATTTTGTTTCTATAGTTTAAACTAAATCTAATTATAGGACAAATTCAGACTTCTATTTGTATCTGACCTGACTGTACAGAAACACCTGTGGAATTTGTTGTATTATTAAACAAGTTAAATCTAGCTGTAGGATGAAATCTTGTTTGGATTCTTATCTTCTCTAACAAGCGAAAAATATTGACAAATAGAAACGCAATGTACTCACCGTGCAAAAGGCTTCGGCTCAACGTTGTAGCAGTCGGTGAGGTTTTGTGAACACACTGGGATAGACAGTGGACTCCCAGACTCGGTCAAAAGTCCCCGAAGCTCTGTGTTTTGGGTGTAGTTGTTTCGGTTTTGTGCTAACATTTCGCGGTTCTAGGACAAAGCCAAGATATATATGTGACAGATTGCTAAAGACTACTTTATTATTCTAGTGACTGTTATCTTTACAGCAATTTATTGAGGAAGCTCAGCGTAAGAGAAACGTCTTGCATTTGATAGAACAAACGAACTTTAAAACTATTTCCACTAAATATAATAACATAATCTTATAGAACAAACGAACTTTAAAACTATTTCCACTAAATATAATGACATAATCTTGTAAAACAAACGAGCTTTAAACTATTTCCACTAAATATAATAACATAATCTTGTAGAACAAACGAGCTTTAAAACTATTTCCACTAAATATAATGACACAATCTTATAGAACAAACGAACTTTAAAACTATTTCCACTAAATATAATAACATAATCTTGTAGAACAAACGAGCTTTAAAACTATTTCCACTAAATATAATAACATAATATTGTAGAACAAACGAACTTTAATTCTTCTAATTCATCTTCTCTAACAAATTTTTCATAAGCATCCAAGAGGTGACTAAGTTACAAATATATATATTTCCTCCAGTTTTAAAATCAAGGGTAAGCGAAACATATATGTTTATTTTGGGTATAATTAAATATTAAGCATTGTAATTCCTCTACTTATCTCCTGCTAGTTTGAATTAAGGATTACTGGTGAGGGGTTAAATTCTCCGAAATTGGCCTTACCCAAGCAGTGAAAGTTGAAATTCAAATCAGGGACTGGGCCTGACGTTCGTAATATACCAATATCCACAGTTTTGGTGATTAAAGAAATAGTTATATTATGTTAAACAGTTTGCTCGCTATGAGTTTAGAATAATAAAGCAACAGTATTCTTCAAAAACCAGTATGAAAATGTTACTTACGTTGAAACGAGAACAACCTAAACAACATACACATGAGTAGATGGACTGGTTAAAAAGTGATTTAATACTAATTGTTAGTGGGTTAATCCTCGATACCAGTTGGTAGAGCACTTACGGTGAAACGAGAACAACCTGAACAACATACACATGAGTAGATGGACTGGTTAAAAAGTGATTTAATACTAATTGTTAGTGGGCTAATCCTCGATACCAGTGGTAGAGCACTTACGTTGAAACGAGAACAACCTGAACAACATACACATGAGTAGATGGACTGGTTAAAAAGTGATTTAATACTAATTGTTAGTGGGTTAATCCTCGATCCCAGTTGGTAGAGCGCACGCCTCTATCCGGCAAATCTCTAATTCGGATCCCCTAAAATGCAGTTGGCCCTCCCAAAGTTAATACTGTTCATTAATCTAATTTTTAGTTTTACTTTTGATCTGGCCCCATTTCATGTCTCATTGCTGTTGAAAAGTTGGAGCCGGATCTATGGTCATCTCATGATTGTAAGATAACCTACCATGACGGTCTTTGTTTGTGAGAGGGGAGTAATATGGTAGTTGGAATTGTTAAAAAGTGTCTTACAAACAGTTTCTAGTAATAGTTTAAACTATTTAGGTCAATTGCTAGAGCACTTACTTAGCGTCCGGGGTTCGACACCGAGCAGAGGAGATATTTATGCATATATTATTTTACCAGAGAAAAACTGCTACTCAACTATTAGTGGTCGTTTACGACCCAGAGATGAGACCCGAAGACTAGTTTTGATTGTGAGAGGAGAATAATGAGTTGTTAATCCCGGGTTCGAATCCTGCACGCGTGGACGCAAAAAATATCAAACATATGTAAACCTTGCAAGTATATTATATATTAAGTCTTCATGAACAAAAGCTTCTCTTTCCGAAAAAAGAGGCTTCACCAGCTGCCCATATATAATAGTTATTGCACTCGTTCAGTCATCAAATAAGTAGTTAAGTTAATTTCAGAGTTGTGTTATACCTTATATAAAAAATCAGCGAGCCTCTAGATGCCACAAAACTTGGTTTATTTCAAAGTTAATAAAGTTCATGCTTGAGAGAAAACTTACAATAAGGAGAATACACTTGATAGGTGATGTTAATGGATTGCATTTGTCTAGGAAGTTTTGGACGTAGATCTTCGTTAGGCTCACTGGCAGCTAAAAACGTCGTCCAAAACTTCCTAGACTTCCTTTAAGTTGTTAGGGTTACATCAGCATAGCTTATCACGTGACGACTACTACTCGCGCGGCAGTGTCTCAAGTAAGAGAAATATTTACGCTAACTTTTTTTCGGCTTCATTGATGTCTCGAAATATAAGGTGCGCGAAGGAGTCCCAACTCTTTGTCAATAAACGAGCGCTACATTGGTGATCAGAGACGGGTCGGAGTTTTAATAAATTACTAGACAACCCGTGGCCCTTTGGATCACCCACTATTCAAAGGTTATGAAGAATTCAAGCTGATTTCAATCTTGCACCGAAATGAAGTTTTATTTTGAGATAATTTAATTAAATATTTCAATCCATTCATGTTATTCTTAATTCAAGAAAAGATATTTGATTGTTGATCGGGAGTAAAAGTAAAGACCATTTCATTTTTTAAAAAAGTGAAGTCAGAGTTTTCAGGTATTGTGATGAATTAGTTCATTAACGCTTTATTTTTTTCTTCGAATTACCTACCATAACCATAGCACATTATTGAGAAATTCTTCAAGATCTTGTTTTTGTCATCTTACGCCTTTTAATGAAGATGGGAACTTTGACAGGGAAATAGATTTGAACGAAAAAGTTTCGTAAAGAGCGCGAACGGTAGTGTGATGTAAAATTACTCATGCTAGAAATTTTCATAAAAGTGACCCGAAAAACGGCGCTAACTTGGTAACCCGTGGCTCAATAAAGTTTCGTAAAGAGCGAGAACGGTAGTGTGAATGATTTTTTGACTTAAAAAATAAGCAAACAAACAAACAATCTCAAAGTTTTAGTAGTATATATACACAGCGTGGTCACAAGTAAATAGACACCACCTTTTTAGAAAAAATGAAATTTTTCAGTCATATACACATGAATTGATATATTTATAATTTAATTAATATCTAGTAGATCTTCCTTTCGCTTCGTGGAGTTCGTTGATCCTTTGGGGCATCGTGAAAATCATCTCGTCAATTTCAGATTAGTGGGATTTTACGCCCACTCTTGCTTCAAAACTTTGGAGTAGATTCGCTCTTCGAAGATGG